CCTAACGATAATTTACAAAGACGTCAAGACGAGAAAAGTGGCTCTGCTTCAAACCCATCTACTTCTTATAGTCCAATTTGGTCCACTTAATGCGACATCCCACGATTTGGTTGGATATGTTTGCTGAAAAGTTAAGTGGCTGCGGATAAAGCGTGTAACAGATGCAATTGTGACCCAACGGCTGCATTCTTCCCTAAATAAGTTATATCTTTGATTCTGTAGTGTTGCTGCATGTGATTGCGTTCAATTGCACGCACGATATGTGAATGAATTGCTCTTGACTTACGTGAGATGTGAGATTTATAACCCCATTAGAGCATAATCAAGCCTCTTATTGCTTGGCGATACTTCTCGTTTCTCCTCTAATACTATACCTCCGTAAGTAGCTTAAACTTGATTTCCTGCACTCATTCCTTCCACTTTCGATGTTGCCCATTTTGTTGATTTCTATCGCTTCCTTACTCTTCCGTTTACTGGTATAGTCCTCATATTCAGCGTTTGGAATTGGTCCAGTTAATCTAGTGTCTTGTAAGAGTCATATGTTCGGCCAACTCCGACTTTTGCACCGACAAAGCATTGCAGGCTTTTTTGCGTCCAGATAACCTTCAGATATTTCCCACAGGCGCTATCGCATGGACACAAGATCTTATAACAGCAGGATCTGGAGAAAGGGTTAGGCTATTATCGAAAAGGATGTTCATCTCCAAAAGATTACACTGGCAGCGTAAGGACTGATATAATGGTTTAGCTTTTTATTCATCCCTAAATATGTATTTCACTCCATCTTGTTTGACTATTCTAAAGTAATTATCAATCGATCCTCGTGGGTAATTGTTCTCAAATAGAATTTTCCTTAGTGGTTTCAATTATTGGTCCCGATTTTTATATCTGCCAGACGCAGACATGTTAGATTAAGCTTATCAACCAAACCAGATATACGAAATTACGCAGATTTAGTCATGCTTTTCCTTGAGTAGTTAAACCTTACTGACTCTAGACTGAGAGGTTAGGACAAGTGGTTTCGTAACTTCATTTACATGTTTATAAGCTCATATCTCATTATCTCAACCATATTTGCTTACGGATTTACGCAGTTTTGGTCAGGGATTTTTTTGAGTCATTAACTCTTAATGAACAGAGCATAGCAGTCTTTTTTCATCACTTATTTAGGACTGGTACTGCGTATACACGTTAACACACACACACACACACACACACACGAGCTAAAGTAGCAAGATCAATACTAAAGATAAATAGTCAAACCATTATCCAGTGTTGGTTTGTAGATATAAAGACCAAGATGGTCTGGCCTTCTGTTTGGTCGAATTATAATTTAGCTTTATTATGTTGGTTCCATCTCGTTTTCGAAATTTGGTCGGAGCGTCAGGGAGATCTTGTGGAACGCACCTAGTCTTGTCCTCTGCCATAGTGTTCGTCCAGCATAGAACCATAGGCTTGGTACATTCCCAAACACTTTGCTGGCATCGTCAGTAAGAGGCGTCATCGTTAACCGATAGCTACAACTAGCTAAAGTGGCAAATGAAGACAATCGCCTTGACCATTTTTTTGTGTAATCGTTTTGGCATCACTTGTCGTCCCTATTTTCTGTTCTACCTTCTCGAGTTGTATCTCCTCTCAATGCCACCTCATTGGGCCCATCCACCTATTCACACACTTCTGTGCCCTCGTCTCCTCGAATGTCGCCTAAGAGTGTGTCGCTACAAGTGGATTTATTGAATCGTAACCATCTCCACCATCGTCGTCTGACTGTCTGATATCTGGCTGCCTAAGAGCCTTCAATTCTCGTCCTAGATTACGCCATATTCGAGGATTTAAAGCAGATGATATCTATGCCCATGTTAATGTCTGGGAATCTTCCTCTCGATAGCCTTGAACCCATAACTAATTAATCCTTTTTTCCACTCCCACCTACATTATGTCTGAATCTTTGGGCCCCTGTGTTCGGCTTAATTCATAATCACTTCACTTTTCACCCCTGAATCGCGAACATAATACTTATATCGTCCTTTAAGTTGACACTTCCATCCAATCCTAGGATACTAGGATGTTTACATATGTGTTGGCTGGTAACCCCCATGGACACTAGTCACCTATTATGGCACACAAAATGCACACAAGCACACGCGAGCATAATGATGACCTATATTTGGCCCACCTATACCTTTAGCCCATGATTTCTTATTCTATAAGTGGACTCCGACGGGTAAATTTTTTACCTATTCTAGGTTTGACTACTCTCACTGCAATCGCCTTTTCTCCACTTCCCTTTGTCCTTCATTAGCCGCTCCTTAGCTATGTCTATTCCTGTTGTTTAACAATTATCCTTGGTACAGGCGTCTTCATTCTCGTGTTTTTGCTCAATCTCCAAATCTGTCCAGACCGTACGCGAAATTATCGCTGTTCTTCCCTCTTCTAACTTTCTGTTAATGAGGTTTCTTTGAAAGAGGGTGTCCACAGCCTCTGATCCGTTTTCTGATCTTCTCTTCATATGAGGTCAGTACTTTCCTTGCACTCCAGTCAATTTGTGGCCGGTAAGGGCGAGTCGCTTAGTTGTCCCCTTTCCATATCCATTTTTCTGCATAGTCGCTGGTGTTCCTAGATAGGTGTGCTGATTGTTCTTCCAGTGTTTTTGTTTACATTCCTTGCAGTTTATGTTGTTAACTCCGCAGCACCAAATTTTGTTACCTCTTTCGTTTTGGTTAGGTAAGTTGGCGAAGAGGGTTGTCCTTTCCTTTAGGATTATACACCTGTTCCGTTTCCATAGTATCAGCCGCAGCTTACAAACCAGCCCGCATGAGGGTTAGCATCTTCGTCGTTTTTCCTCTGTTTCTCTTGCTTTTATTTTATTTTAACCCGACATGAAGGAGTATACTTCACGGGTTGCCTCAACCTTAATACCGTATTAAAACCAAGTGGCTGCACTACAACTGGAACCAGCCGTCCTTCTGGGGATATCTACCGTCGAATCTATACACTTTCCCACGAAATTAAAATATCTACAATAATACTAGAGTGATGATTTGATTTTTATCCTGCTATTCAATGTTTCATTATCAGCTCCACTAGTGTTGTAATCCAAGCTTACTAGACTATCAAAAAGCAAACTGATAAGTTGTAACTCTGTGTTAGTGATGACGCCTTCCACTGACGGTGCCGACTAATATGCCAGCGAAACGCTTGCGCTCGGCTTCGTTATATAATCTTAACTTTCTCG